ACTCTAATTTTGGGTAAATTACTTCGAAGATATTAGTCAGTAAACAGGTTTATTATCATTATTAACATTCTAAATGAATGTGACAGTATTTCCATTCTAGAAATATTAGTTTAGAAACGAATATTTAAATTTGTCGTTTTTACATAAAATCGAATCGAAAATGAGTGCTTAAAGAGGATTATCTTGAACTTTGAATTCCCTTGAATATCACTATTTTTATGGAATACTAACTGTGCTTTTTAAAATTTGAATAATATCATAACCAAGACCCTTTAGCCTCATCTTCCTTAGAATTCGACAATAGAGACTATTAATTAATATAAATATGATTTCGTTAACATGTTTATAATGATTATTTTCTTAAAGGTCAAATAAACTGTAGCAAGAACATGCCTGAGCCGGCAACATCGTTCTCTTCCTAGCATAGGTATGCTTTGTCACGTGAGGTTCATTAATCAAATCTATTTGTAAATATAAAATGAATTTTAACAATTCAATGAATTTAAAATGTATTAAAATGTAAAAAGTAACCTTGTGAGATATCAAATTCCGCATTTGATATAAACGAAACATTCGGAGAATGTCCGGGAAAATCAAAGACAGAAAATTTGTCTATTCGTTCACTACAATTTGCAAAAATTTTTTTAGCATAATTAACAACAACATAAGAACATAAATTACTTACTCTGTATAATTAACATTTCTTGTCGCTGTACGTCCTTTAGTCAATCCGAGACACTTTGAGAAATGTTTTGCATATGTTGCAACTGGAATCATTACACTACAATTTAGACAACGCTGTTTTTCTGCTTGCGATTTCAAAGTGTTGATATCTTGACCGTATATATCGTATCCTTCTTCATAGATCAAATTCGGAAAGTCACTATTTTGATATAAATTTTTTTTTAAAATTAAAAGAAAAGCTTGAATACAGTAAATCTAATGATATACTTGAAATCTTTGCTCTGATAAGTTTGTGCATTGGCAATTTCTTTTACAAGTATTCCTGTCTTTGCTTGCTGGTGTACTTCAAAAGCCACGTCCAAGGTACATTCATTTATTAATTCTTGTAAAATTTCGAAAGCCTAAGAGTAAATTTTACGCGTAAATTTGTTAAAGTGGATTTATATAGTTTATCAAAACGTTTGAAACCTAATCAATTAAACATGTACCAAGTTATCCTTAGATTCCTTAACTTTATCCAAAACATTATCTTTCAATAATGCGTCAACAATGTTCCTCATGTCATCAACGGGCCCATCAACCTGAATTTCTTCATATCCATCATGAAGTTCATTAGGCTTTTCATAATCCCCATGTTCTTCGACATCACAAACGTTTTTAATATCGGAATTCTCGCTTACATTTTCGATATCGATAATTTCCATGATGGTGAAGCTATTGTTATAGCTCATGAACCTGGTAAAGGTAAATATTTAAGACA